AGCAGGAATTAAAAAGTCAACCAGACTAGTTTCCATCTAGAATTGTGTTTCATTTGTGTGTATTTGCTTAAAAATAGTGCCCAGCATGTTCTCAATGTGTTTCAAGAGTTTAATCCACTGAGTAACATTTCCATTTGCCACCATCCCTCAATATGTAACTGTCTTCTTTACGTACTAGGGTCGTTGTTCTGTGTCCCCACTTGTAGAGGCAATGGCTATTCACAAGCCTATATGACAGAGAAGTTTCGTACAAGCGTCCAGCTCTTTGATGTGAACTAGATCCACTGAAATACTACTGTTACCTAATGGGCTGTGAGAGCTGGTAAAGCACAAAAAATTATATATTTACAAATCTCTGTTTCACTGGTGTGTCAGCTGTACATAAAAATCTTACTAATACTGAAAAACTGAGTGAGTCTTCTCTAATGGCAACTTTTTGGCAGCCTGCAGTGCTGAAACTGGAAGTCTGGGTTTCCGCCGCAGCCATGTGAGCTCGGCTGATGAACCCCATCTCAGTCCACGTACAGCCACAGCTTAGTTACTGATCTGTTAGAGCAGCTGTGTGTACATCAGCCCAATCTCCTCAATGTCCGTACCATCTCAAATGGCATGAACAACTTGTGTACCAGAGGAGCTACTGTATGTGTTTATGACCCTCCTTTGCCTGTTCTTCCAAAAATCAGGCAGTAATGGGTTCCTGTTCACATCCCAGCTATGGCATCACCAGTTGCTTTTTATACCTACAGGTAATAATTGGTGTGTGGTGTCAGTGCACCCCTCTGAAATGTTTTCTGCTAGCTAGATAGAATTATGTCTGCAGTTCAACATCAGTGAGCCCTTGGAGATTTCAGTCTGCATGGTGGATAAAGGCAAATGATCGTATTCTTCCATTGATGCAGTTACTGAATTATGCTGGCAGCTCAGAATCAGTGACTTCACTTCTTTTTTGAAGTTGCTGTTTAGGAAACCATAGATAACAGGATTGACACAGGTGGAAGCCATAGCTACCAGGTGGCACAAGGAGAAGATCAGATTGTGGTGGCAAGGTGAAATGATTTTGTAATTCCAGTCCACAATTGTGTTGAAAACATGCAGTGGTAGCCAGCAAACAGCAAAAGCAGCAACCATTGATGCTAACAAAATATTTATCCTTCTCAGCTGAACTGCTCGGTTGCTGTATTCACTCTTCTCAAACATGTCCTTTCTCTTCTGTAGACGCAAGTAGATACGTAGGTAGCAAAGTATAATGAAGAACAGTGGGATGCAATATTGCAAGAGCAGTAAAGTGGTAGTGTAGATAAGTCTGTGTTGCTCAGAAGGCCACGAATCGATGCATATGGCCTTGTCAGTGGAAAAATTCATTATGTGTGAGAGCTGCTCATACAAATCATTAGACAAGATGGATGTGGTCAAAAAGGGCAGTGACATGAGACATGCTAAAGTCCAAATTACTCCAATTCCTAGGTAGGCTTGGGAGATACTTGGCCTCCATCCAGTTGGGTTTATGATGAGCTGGTGTCTTTCCAGAGCAATAAGGACAAGGGAAAGAATTGACACTGTCACAGATGTGCACTGAGTGAAAGACATCATTTTGCACATGACTTCCCCAAATATCCAGTAGTCCATCATGGTGTAAACAACAGTGAAAGGCAGACAGACAAGACACATAAACAAGTCTGAAATTATTAAGTTGGAAATTAAGATGTTGGTAACATTGGCCTTTTCCTTCTGCCTGGCGATGACAGCAATCAGACAGATGTTTCCCACAATGCCTAGGACAGTCTCCAAGCTGTAAGAGGTGGCCAGAAAGACAGTAAGGTCAGTGATGTTCCTGCACTGATTAGAAATGTGTGCAGAGAAGCTTCGATTTGAGTTCAAGTTCTTAGTGTTCACAAAAGGAAAACCGTCATTAACAGCTCTTGTCTTATTCATCTTGAATCCCAAAATGTTTATCCAAAAAGGTGATAGTCAAACAGAATCTGGGTCTTCTGGGGCCAGTCTAAAAAAGGTTTTATCTCTTCTGTTTGGCCGTGGAAGATATGGGTATATCTGCAACGAAAAAGAAAAAAGATTGCTTAGATATGCTACAAGAAATTAGCCAAAAGTGTACTGAGGGAGACAGGGAAGCAAACGTTAATGATTCCGTGTATCTTTTTCAGCAACCTTTTATATAGTTTATTAGATCATAGAATGGAACCATTTGCTAAACTGTGGTATGGAAGTCTGTGCAACTATTGAATTGTGACTGTATTTACTGGTTGTGAGGTTATCCCATGGATTTAAGATGTTCTTAACTTCATCGTTTAACTCAGTGCAGTATTTTGATTATCACTAATACAGTAGAGTGGTGTTTCAAGAAAGTTGGATCAAAACATGCTTGGGGGTAAAAATTGTGTGTAATTCTGGTTTTGCAAGGTTCTGATCCAAAACTGAGCAGAAGACATGTTGTGGGGCTGCATTTACCTTCAACAAACTGAAAATCAATGTGAAAAGAAAGTCATATTGGGTGCATAAAGCCAACACTAAAATATCTTATGTGAGTTAATCTGTGACATGCATTTGTGATCGCAGCCAGAACCCACATTTTCTTGAGACAATCACCATGCAAAAATTTAGGCTCATAGCCTCAGGAGGGATAACATGGGACAATTTTGAAGAAGTCTAGAAAAATTTAAAACCCTTTTGACATTTTCCAGCTTCTACATAGTTGTGATAGGTCATGGGAACTGCAGTCCAAATTCCCTGCTTCCCCATTCTGGATGAACTCCAGTACCCGTGAGGCATTGATGTCTCCCCCTGGGTGTCCCATGTGGCCATCATAGGGTTTATCAGAAATACAGTTCAGTCTCTGGATTTTGGCTTTAAGAGTGGGTGATTTTGACAACCTCTCTTAATTCCTTATGAAAAGCTTCTTAATGATTCTTCTTCAGCATAATTTTGCTTTTTTTAACCAAGAGAATTCAAGTGCTGTAATAGTATGTGCTGTCTCCTAGATGCTGTTTCTGCACAGGCAGATGGCTCCGCTTCTTAGCCACTGATGCAAGCCCTGAGCTGGGATTTTCAATGGGGTCTCAGGGAGATGAACCTACAGAGTTAATTTAGGCTGCATCCTTTCAGGAATCTCAGCCATAGGACTACCTGAACTCTACCAGTGGCTCCTGAGAGGCTGTCATGATCTGCCACAGCAGATCCTGCTTTATAATCCTGGCTCTGGAGTCCAAATCCTCTATGTTCAGGAATCAAAGGAAAAAAAACAAACTGACTCTGCTGGGAGTTCTCCTCAGGCCACAGTCAGTTACATGCTGTACAAAGGCGTGTAAAGTGAAAAGTAAATAAATACTTGGGGAATGACACTATTTACCCATTGCTTGCCACTTTCCTCAGCAATAAAATGCCACTCAAACAAGTTTGTGGGGTTGTGAGAAACTTCTGAGCTTCAGAAAAACAACTGGTCAAGATATGAATACATAAATAAAATGGTATGGTGAGTTTATCACTTTGAGTAGTATTTACTGCTGAGCAACTCTATGCATAAAGGTAACCAGTACTGTACAAAAAAGTGTCTACCACACTACAGTTTTTTTCTTTGCCTTGTCTTTCTACTTATGAATTCTATTCTGTGCTTCTTGAGATGTTGCCTTTCAGGAATTAACAAAAGCAATAGTATACAGTAAATAAAAAGGTGTTTCGGGATTGTTGCTCTGCTTGATTAGCAAAAATTAGTACAGTCAAATCTTTTGTTGCTTTGCTGGATCTGTTGATTTGTCTATCCATATCTATTGTTTCAGACAGTGAAGAGTGTCACACAAGTGAAATAGAGTGAGCTTTTCTTCTTCTTGTTCTCTCATTTCCTCAGTCATTTAAACTTCATTAAAGAGGGCAAAGGAAATTTTCTGAATTGTGGACATAGGTATGACTCTGTTCACTCACTTTCATGTTATTACTTGGCTTGTGTGAACTGATTGATTTTTTTTCTGGAACTAAAAGAAAAGGCAATGATGATGTACGGATTGCGTGGTCACACATGGGGAGTGTTGGTGCAGGGAAGAGTATGTTTCAGCATGAAAATAGATATAGAATGAAAAAACATCAACCACCCCGTTAACTTTAAATGAGTGCTGACCAGTGGAGATACTGCATATGAAACAGAGCAAAGGCATTAGCAGGCTGCAATATTATGTGGTACAAGTAAAAGGAGCCCAGTCTTGGCATTTGGACAGGACAAACAGACTCTGCTGTAAATGAAGAGATGAGGGTTTTACTACAGTACCAGCCCCCTGTCCTTAGCTACAGTATCCTTGACAACAAACACATGGTTCTCTCTTGTTGCTTTAAAAATGTGTGCTGAGTTATTACAAACATCTGTGCCCCACAGAGTAAGCTCTCTCAAGAGTCCCAGACACTTTTGGACATGCTGAAGCGTCTAATGCTGAGGACAACGACTAACATTGAAGCAAAAAAAGATGGTAGTGGAGCCACCTGAAAAGTGGAAGCCAGATCCCACAGTTTTAAGAGGAACGTTCCCAAGAGGAATGCCAAGGGCAGAGTGTGGCTGTGCATATGGCAAACATGGTGGAGATAAAAAGCATCTCTGAAAGCTTTGCAATGCATTTTGTTGGGCTAGGAGCTCCCTTTCTTTTAACAGGTTGCATTTCGTGGTGTCTCTCACAAGGTGACTGTCAAGGACTTCCTGGGCATTCGTTCTGATGGTACTGCCCAGAGGTAAATGAGGAATTATCACCTTCATCACAGATAAGGGGACTGAGAGAGGGAGGGGAGACCTGAGTTGCCCAGTGTCTCAAGGGAACCTGTGGTGCACTATGCAGTACTTAAAACTGCCTGCCAACCCAATGTTTTGGGAAAAATCAGAGCCTAGATCACCTAGGTCCACAGTTCTCTTTACCTCTTATTCTGGCAACCATAGTATAAAAAGCAGTTTCAGAAAAATAGAAAAAAAAAAAAAATGTTGTGGTGACCTTATACTTATGTATCCTTTTATGGTACCCTTGGGTGGCAGATTCTCAAGGCCAGTAACTGCCAAAAGCTGTGTTATCTGAAGGTGTTTTACTGCTATTCAGATTGGTCTAAATTAAGAGACAGTTATAAGCAATGTGCACACATTCTGTTTAGACACTTGAATCAAAAGTTAGCTAATCACCAATGCAGTGGGAAAAAAGTTGTTAGTCCTCTCACTGTGTTGAAGGTTTGTTAATTACCTAGTAAAATATGGTGAAAACTTTATGGGCTAAAAAACCCCCAGCTTTTGTCTCCAGAAAGTGAAGCAATACTTACTTGGCTTGTAGAAGTAAAAAGCATGCCTCCTAAATCAGTTTGCTGAGGGAGTGGGGGAAAAGTTGGATAGGTTTTGTTTGCTTGTTTATTTTTAAAGAGGAAAAAGTAATACTGTTCGGAACCCTTAATGAACTTCAGGAAAGTGGTCAGTAACAAAAGCTAACATGCTCAAAAAGCAAGGGTTTTCTTCTCTAATTGAGGCAGCATGAGATCGTTTCTCAAAGTGAGTGTCACAAAAGTCTGCAGCGAATTAACAGGATACAGAAGAAAAAAGAGAAGGAGCTTTCAGATTTAATCATAGTTTAAGTTAAATTCCCCACTTACACCTTCTAGAGATGTTCATCACTGCAGTCTGCGGTGGAGGCAAGGAAGAATAGCAGGCAAGATATGAAGGGTTTTTCTTGCTGAGCAACACAGCCTTCTAAACAAACAAATGTCACTCAGGTTGTCTCAAGAAAAGGAAACCAGCTATCACTAGTCAGCTTGAAAGCTTTACCCCAAGGCTATCCTGTATTTCCTGGAAAAAATCATCAAAGGACAGGGAATTCTGCAGAGATGGTCAGGGAAGAAAATGAAACCCTCAGTGGGTTTGAGGGAGACTGCTAGACAAGAAGTGGTCCTAAGGAGTTAATGCACTACTGCCCTTTTGTGAGACCTCTGGACTTGAAGACATTCCATGAAAACCTCTCTAAAACTTTTCCTGGAGATGCGATAAAGCAAGGGACTGCTACTGATGCTGTGCTCTATGTGCTCCCTGGGAAAAGCTGGGTCACTCTTGCAAAGCTAACCTTGATCATTCCCTCCCTGTAACTGACAACCAGTCTCCATAGTTGTGATGGGCACTGTGGATCAATTTCCACTTCAGACATAAGTCAAAGAATGTTGGCAGTGTTTGGCTTAATTATCTGGTACTCAGAAGCAATTTCTTATCTGGCTCAGAACTTAACCAGTTGCTCAAGCCATGTTTGCTGCTTTCAGTCCATAAGACTTCCTAAGAGAAGGGATTCCTAAAGACATTAAGTGATTGTATTACTTATTTAAAGAGTTATAGCAATTAACTGCAGTAAAGCAGCTATTGTCTGCCTCTTATAAACTACAAACAAAGAGGCAGTGGAAAAGTTTAACAGGACTATGAAATTCATGCTGCAGATATTAATTGAGGTGGTGGTGACTGATGAACAGTGGTATCCCCTTTTTGCTGGCAGTGGCATTACCTCAGTAAAATAGATCTGCCCTGTTTAGCCTTACGTCCTAGAGAAAGGTTAAAAAATCATTTGGCTATCATTATAGGTTCCCAGGAAGGCAACGCTTAACTGGAAGAGGAAACCTGCCACTGAGCGTGCACAGACATCCCACAGCAATGGTAAATCCATAAGGGATTTGGTACAATGAAATTTAAGGTGGATTCTTCATCTTTGTTTAACTCCGTGTTGCAAAAAATATTGGGAGCAACTATCTTAAGTCACTGAAACAGTTATATATGTTAAAAATTTCTAAAGCCTGCGTAATTAGGGTATAGAACAAGTTGTATGTATTACGTCTACAAAACTGGGAGATGGTATAAATACCCAGGGAAGTGAATATCTCTCCCCCTCACATCTACAGATTTTCAGAAGGAAACCTTTCAGAGGGTATGAACT